AACTTAAGAGCTTTATGATTATCCGATTATTGGAATTGATTTAGGAACAACTTACTCAAGTGTTTGCATTTAAAGTAATGATAAAGTTGTTATAATTCCAAATGAGTATGGATTTAAATCAACACCTACGGTTGTTGCTTACAATACTACGTTCTTAGTCGGAGAAGAAGCTAAAGAATAGGCTCTTATTAATCCAATGAATACATTTTATGATCTCAAAAGATTAATTGGAAAAGAGTAACTATATGAATTAATTATAGTTATTTTGATCCAAATGTGTAGAAGCTTAAGAAAAATTTACCCTTTACTTTAATTAACGAAAACAATACAATTTGTATTAAAGTATTGTAATATAAAAATGAAGGTGAAAAGATATTTAACATTGATTATATTCAAGCAAAGGTTTTAACAAAATTGAAAAATATGGCTAGTGATTATTTAGGATTTCCAATACAACATGCAGTCATAACAGTTCCTATTGGTTTTAATGATATTTAAAAACAAGCCACAATAGATATTGCAGAAATTGCAGGCTTAAAAGCTGTTAGAATTATTAGTGAGCCAAATGCTGCTGCAATTGCTTATGGTAGGGACTATGTAACAAAAGAAACAAACATTTTTGTTTTTGATTTTGGAGGTGGCACTTTAGATATTACAGCAATGAAAGCAACAAAATACAAGTTTGAAGACTTACAACATTCATCAGAATTGAATTTAGGAGGAGAAGATTTTGATTTCAATGTAGTCGAATACTTAATCAAATCCATAAAAGATACTGCTAAAATAGACCTAGTAAATAATAAAAAAGCAATTTAAATATTAAAAATAGAGGCTTAAAAAGCTAGGGAAGTACTTTCTATGTAGAATATTGCACATATAAAAATACCTAATTTGATTGAAGGATATGATTTTTATTATAGTCTTACAAAGGAATAATTTGAAGAGGTGAATCAAGTACTTTTTGATAGGGTTGTTTCTGCTATAAAGTAAACCTTTATAGTCAATAATTTATAAATATAAGATATAGACGAAATTATTCTAGTAGGAGAAAGTTGTAGAATTCCAAAAGTCTAAGAAATTGTTGAGACAATATTTGTAAACAGCAAGATCATTAAACATAGATTAGAAGATGAGTTGTTTTGTATTGGAGCTGCTATTGTAGCAAATTCATTTACTAAATTTAAATCTAAGTAAAAATATCAATTTGTAGAAATCATGAAGACTTCAATTAGCTCTGATGTCGAAACCAAAGGAAGGAAAATGAAATCAATTATACCTAGATTGTCTAGAGATCCATTAGCTTTTTCAAAATAATACACTACTACTAAAGATTATTAATCTGAAAACTTAATTAGAGTTAGTTAGAAAGAAAGAAGTTTTACAAAGCATAATGAGTAAGTTGGAAAATTTAAATTTAATGGTATTTAATAAGCCAAAAGAGGGATAACTGAAAGAAGAATAACGTATGAATCAAACTATAATGGAATATTTATCGCTACTGCTGTTGATTAAAACACAAAAAACACAAACTAATAAGAAATTGCTATAACAAATTTAATGAAACCTTCAAGAAAAGATATTACTAAGCTAAAGGATGAGGAAGAGGATAAATAAATTTAAGAAAGTTCTTCTATTATAAATAAGTTAATATTATATTATTAAAATTACCTAATTTAATTATAAGTAAAAGTTAATTGAAATAATTTAGCAATCAAAATATAAAAATCAAATAAATCAGGCTGAATCATCAGAAATAAAATTACTACTCAATTTTAGTTCTAAATTCCTATAAGAAATTGAACATAAAATTGCAACAAAAATTGATGGTTTTCAAAAAGAACTGAAAGATTTACAGAAGTAATATATAAAAATTAAGTAGTTCAATTAATGCTTTAATAAATAAATCAAGCGATCTATGACCTTTATTTCATATTTAAATTATTGAATGATTATATAAAGACTTAATATAAATAGATTAGAATATTTAATTTCATATTCAAAATTCTATTTCATATTTGAAATTTATTTAAAATTGCAAATATATCATCCACATATTAAACATATAAATCTATAAATTGTAAGTATCTATTTATTCTAATCATTACACTGTTTCTTTATTTGTGAATTGATATATATAACTATTTGAGAATCAAGGGTTTCTTTATCGCAGACATCAGGATAAATTTCTCGTTCTAGAGAAAAACCAAATTCTATCCTTTATAAAAATATAAATTCATTTATCCATTTGACTGATAATACTTAATGTTTTTGAATTTATTATTTTTGACTTTAATTTAATAACATGGTCCTACAGCTCTTTTTGGCTGCTTATGATAAAGCTATCATTTTTGATAAAACAACCCAAAAATTTGTAAGAGAATGTAAAGGGAATATGTTTATTGATATTTGAAACTAACACAAATTCCAATTGAAAGGTAACTAAATGGATTTGGGTTTTTTTTTCCTCTTTTTATAGTAGGCTACAAGAAGATCTAAATGATAATTTTTTTTTTGAAACCTCACATCGGATAAACTAGAATTGGAACTCATTAAACTGGATTGGAATTATAATAATTAAATAAAGATAACCACTGCCTAATATTCATAGATTTAACCTGGGTCTCTAACATTATTGAGAGATAAATATTATTCAATATGCTAAAGCGAACAAATATTGTATAAATAAAAGATATTGAGTTTCTAGAGGCTATACACAGAAGAACTTAGCAAACAAGTACATTAATTCACAAATATATGTGTTTTAATAATGATCCTAATGTTCACCAATTTTACCAGCCCTATTTAATATTTATCTTGAAGAATTTCATAAAGACTTAATACAAGACATTGTCTAAGTAATTTACACATAGAATATGGTTAGAAAGATTATAAATTGTGATAATAAACCAATATCTAAAAAATAATTAGATCGAGGAAGAAGTCAATAAGAAAACTTTTAAGAAAGCTTAAATACAGAAGCTTCTCACTATTTACTCATTAAAAATTAAAGATGATTAATGACAACATAGTAAAAGATAACAGAGAAATAGAAAAGATTGTCAAAACGAGTGCTAACAAGAAATGATTAAAAACCAAATAATGAATATAGATATAATAAAAAAATTTAGTTGGGATTATTGAAAAATGGACCTCATTATAATTTGTACATAGATAAGCATATACATAATAATCATCTTTCCTCAATGAGGAATATTTAGTGTAAAGTTAATGATTAAACACAGGGATTAAGAATGCAGAATTGAAGAATTTTAAAAGAATGAAATAAGACCTAACTTATTCAAGCCAATGCCCTAAATTTAAAATTTAAATAAAGAAAAATATATATTTTTTGATTTTCATTTTCAGAAATGGGTAATAAATTCGATATAATTAATTTTCAATATGATATTAAATTTTCATTAAACAATATGTCTATAAACATTCAATATAACAAAAGATCATAATTTTATGAGATTTAATTATGATCGATTTTCTTCAAAAAATATATTTAAATACTTTATATTATTCAAAGAATAAAGTTGTTTATATTTAATATATACCAGATTTTTATTGCATTACATTTTCATTTTTGAAAATTTTTTTGAAGCCTTTTCTAATTAAATCAATACTTTAATATTAATTTGAATTGTGCACCAATTTAAAAAATATATCTAATATTATGATATTTCTTTTTTATGATTTGTCCTTAGAGTGCAAATTAAAATATTGGGGAATAATAATGATTACTTAGTTACAAGACTTACAAATAATATTTTCTTAGCTGACTAGCCAATTGATTAGCTAATAATGCTTATTTATTGTACTTAATATCCTAAGAATAGGGCTCTAAAATTATTATTCTAAATGCAATGCAAGGATTTCTGAAGATAAATTTCTCACATTTTTGTTAATTTATTAGTAAATTTATTTTTAGCTGATCATTGAATTTCGATAAAATTTGAAAGTTGAATACTTGAATCAAAATTTTAAGGAGACTTTACTGAGATATTTATTGATACAGAAAGTATTTAAAGTATAAAATAAGTCTGAAAAGTTAAATGAATTTTTAGAATTGTCTAAATACAATTCGGAGGGGATGGGATAGGGTGGAGATTCGGGAAAAATAGTAGAGAATTGAGAAAAGTTTTAGGTGAATTTAAAAAATTAATTGATTAAAAAGGAGAAATTAAATGAGTATTTAACAAGATTTTATGATGATTAGACTCAATTATTTATTCAATAAATTGATTTTACAAAATTAAAAAAAGAATTAATGAATTTACCAAAAGTTTCATTTTTTGATGATCCAAAATCAAATTTATGGATTAAAGAAGTAATTTAGGCATCAGATCCAAAAATTAGTGGGACACTGATCAAAAATTCTAAATTAGGAATTTAAAAAGAAAGCAACTATTTTCTATAGGATGGAAAACTGGCTTGTTAACATAAATATATAGATCTATAGAATGCTTCTCTGGAGAAGATAAAAAATATAGGATTTAAATTGACAAAGAATCGCAAATCGGTTGAATTGCTTGCTCATAATGAACAGGCACAAGGAATGTGGTATAATTAGCTTAAACAGTATTGCATTTAGAGAGGGTTCAATAATGTATACTCCATAAATAAATTGATTGGGAAAGGGAATTTTGCAAAGGTAAAGCATTATCGATTAAGTCAAGGTGTACAGTGCATCCAAAAAGAGTGATCACTCGATGTATGCTGTAAAGGCTTTCGATAAGCTAAAATTTTAAGATATTAGAATTGACAAGGTAGATTCATAGTGTAATTATAGCCTGCTTTGATTAAGGAGTTATCAATAATGAGAAAGATGGAATTTGTGGGTGTAATAAAATTATATGAAGTGTTTGAGAATGATAATTATATATTTTTGGTATGTGAATTGCTAGAGGGAGGTGAATTGTTTAATCAAATGAAAGGGAAAGCATATGATGAGAAAACTGTTGCTCATATAATGTTTAGAATTTTGCAATCCATTGATTACATCCACTCAGTTGGTGTTTTGCATAGAGACATAAAGGTTAAGAAAAGTGATAATTATATAGCCAGAAAACTTGATACTCAGATCAAAAAGGGACATGGCTGATGTCGTGATTGCAGATTTTGGTCTTGCTGATTTCTATAATTAAGAAGGAGATTATATGTTTAAGCGTTGCGGAACTCCTGGTTATGTAGCTCCTGAGTTGCTTTAGGATAAAATCTATGATTATAAGATAGATATCTTTAGTGCAGGAGTACTGATGTTCATCATGTTGACTGGTCAATCTCCATTCAAAGCCAAATCATATGATGAAATAGTGATGAAAAACTATCATTGTTAGATCGAATTCAGTTTAATTAATAATCAACCCCTAAGTGAAGAGGCAGTTCATCTCTTGACTTCGTTACTCGAAAAGAATCCAGATTTGAGAATCAGTTCGGAACTTGCTCTCCAACACCCATGGTTTTAGAAGTAAGGAGATCATAAATTAATCTTGTAAATTGTGTTTATATCTTGAAGAGCTGACACATACCCTAGACATAAAAAGAACTCTGAATTGTATGCCAAAACACCATTAATGGGATAGGAGTTAAATTAATCTATCACTTCGACACCTCTAAGTGTTACACCATAAATGAGGAGCAAGTCCAATACAACTGATCAATAAAAAGAAGATTAAGTTTCGTCTACTTCAAGATAGTAGAGTTAATCATTAAAAATTTAAAAATAAGAATATATCCTAGAAGAAAATGAATACAATGTTAATGAAGAAGATGATGTTCCTCATAGTCATCAAATTAAAATGTATCAAATTCAGCCAAAATTAAAAAAAAGTATCTATCTCGATTTTATTAATAGATTAAGAGGAGTAACAATAAAAATAGAATGTCAATAACAAAGGTTCACTCTAATTCAAAGTTTGAATATATTAAGATAATTTTGTATTTAATAAATACAAAAATTATTTATAAATTTTATATAGAAATCTAGAAAATTCTTCATTTTAACAGCAAAATACACGCAAGAGATTTATATTTAAAAAAATAATCATGAAATTCATCTTACTACTAGCTCTGACATTTGCCATTATTTCAACAGAACAAATTCCAGAAGTTGATGGAATTTTACAATTAAGTCGTAGAAACTTCTAATAGGCTTTGGATGAGCATCCTAGATTATTGGTCAAATTTTACATTGATACTTGTGGATATTGGTATTGAATATCAATTGAACTTAAGTTAAAAAATGAAGCCTGTGTTCATTCAATTGGCTTAAAGATTAAAGGAATATGGTTTCGTATTAGGAGAAGTCAATGCTCACGAAAGTAAATCATTGGCAGCTAAACATGATGCTAAAGCTTATCCAACATTGAAACTGTTTAGAGATGGAGTCTCACATGATTTTCCAAATTCTTCTGATTCTCTAGAAGTTTTATTTGAATTTGCTCTTTAGCATGCTTATGGACCAATTACAAAATTATATACTTAAGAAGAGGTATCTTTAGATATTAAATATTTGTTTAGATTGATTTGTTTTTGAAAAGATCAAATATTGCAGTTCTTAAATATGTAAATGATTAAGATGATTTATCAAATTTGAGTTTGGATCATATTTAAGTTAAATTTGGAATAGTAGAGAATAATGAATTACGATAGAGTTATCCTCATAAATACACATTGATAAATAAGGATATTGAGAAGCCAATTCATTATAATGGTGATATTACTGGGTTATCAGAATTCATTTCAACTAAAGGTTATCCCCTTGTATTCTCATTGAATGAGGAGGAATTCATGAAGGCAGAAAATGATAAGATTCCTTTGGTTGGAATTGCAGGATAGAAAAATGGAGTTCTTCACAAACGATTTAAATACCTTGCTGAATCATATGTTAATTCAACTAGATTTGTGATAATAGACCCATCACTAGAGTTATGTAACAGAAGATTTGAATATTTGATTTAATAAAGTCCAGTTGCTGAGAATACTATCTATTACTATGATTACGAGTAAATCTATAATGTTATCATGTAGAACAAAGAAGACTACAACAAAAACCTTTAGCGATAATTCAGTTGGAACATTAAAGAAGATAGTTGAATAATTAATAGAGGAAGTAACAGCACCAAAAAGAGAAGCAGAGAGACTAGCTAAATTAATAAAGGGGGATGGCTAAGTACATAAATTGACAACAGAGAACTTCAAAGAATAAGTATTTGAGAATCATAGACATGTGTTTGTTAAATTCTATGCCCCATGGTGTGGTCATTGTTAATCATTAGCACCCACCTTTGAGAAATTGGCTTAAGAATTAAACAGGGATGATATTGCAATCGCTGAAGTAGATCATACAGCAAATGCATTGGATGATATTCCTATTGAAGGATATCCTACTTTATATCTATTCAAATAAGAAGGTGACACTAAGACAAGAAAAGAGTATGAGGGAGATAGGTCTCTCCAAGGTATGAAGGCTTTTTTAGAAAGAAATCTGGGTAAAGTTGAGAGTACAGAAAAGAAGTAGACTGAATTCAGTGAAATAAAGAATGAAGGTACAGTTATTTCGTTAACAAATGAAAATTTTGATCATGTAGTTTTGAATAGCAAATAAGATGTATTAGTAAAGTTCTTTGCTCCTTGGTGTGGACATTGTAAGGCAATGGCAGAATCTTACAAAGAACTTGCTTAAAATCTGAAGGATAATTAGAATGTACTTATTGCTGAGATGGATTGGACTGCTCACTAAACTAGTGCTGTTGAAATCAAGGGATTCCCTACTTTGATATTCTTTAAGAAAGGACAGGATAAACCAGAACAAATAAAGTATTAATCGGCGAGAACTGCTGAAGCCTTAGCTAAGTTCATAGAAGAGAACAGCAGTTTTGTAAAGAAGGAAGATTTGTGATTCAGAATATATGTTATAATTAAATGATATAAATATTTGAATAGTATTCCCGTTGAAGAGTATAAGAATCATTTGATAAACTGATAGATATTTGTTATATTTAACATAGATAAATATTAATTCAATAATCATCACCTCTAGATATGACTTCTATACAGCTTGGCTTTAAGAATATAGTATGCTCATATTAAGAAACATAGGAACCTCTGATGTCACAAAGAGGAGGATATCTATGATATTACATATAATTTAATACGGGTTAATTATTCCAAGATCACACAGATTCTTCAAACCCAACAAATAATTGGTTTAGCCATCTCTATCTAAAAATCTTCTGCAGAATGCCAAAGTGTCATAATGATTGTCAATGTGAGTTAAGAGTGATTTAGCTCTTGGAACTCTAACAGCTGTTGGTTTAGCATAGAAATCTTTCATGTAATGTGAACATTCCAAATCTTCATTTACATATCCTTTTCCTGTTGATCCAAATGTTTCAATCGCATAGAGTTCTCCTTCTTTCATTAAAGTGTTGTCATTGGATTTGACTATTGGAACACTTTTACCCCCGTGAATATGATATTTACAGATCAAATGTCCATTTAAATTTTTTACTGATTTAACTTTGTAAACTTTTCCTCCAATTTCAACTTCATAACTTTCCATTGTTTCTTGTATTGCTGCTCCGACATCTCCTAGTCTAACGTCAATTCCAGAATTTCTGATTCCAGTATCAGTTGCATCTTTAGCTGCTTATAATAGAGTATCATAAACTGGATTGAATGCAACTGTGAATGCACAATCTATAATCCATCCATCAACCTATGTTCCAAAATCTATTTTGCAAACATCATCATATGTTAAAATTGTATTGTCTCCATTATTTGGTGTGTAATGTGCTGCACAGAAATTCAAGGAACAACCTGTTGGAAATGCTATACCTGCATTTAATCCATTCTCCTCAACTAAAAATCTATTCATATTTTCCAACTTCTCACAAATATCAATCAATCTACACATTTAATATTAATATTTACTTGTTTCCTGGCTTCAACAATTTAGCCTAAGCATATTATCTCACTTATCTATGGCATTCAGCAGCCTTTCTCAAAGATTACAATTAATGTTCATGAATCAAGTCTTTTTCTCTCATTTCATCTTTACTGATTCTTGATGATTTCTCACCCAAATATGGGATTTCTTAACCCTTAGGATAAACACCTTAAGGAAACTATTTTGAAACTGGAATTGTGGGTGGCTGAGTCTATTTCCATTCCTTCTCTTCCCAATTTCCTAACTTTCTGATCCCAGAATTATCGACGAATCTTGAGTTAGTCTTTAAATATAATTTCAATATATACTATTGGATCTCCCTCTACATAATCTGGCCCCAATTACTTCTTCTTATCCTCTATTACTTGTTGTTATTATTATTGAATTTATTGTTATTTTTAGGCTTCCTAATTTTATTATATTAATTAATCTAAAAAGTCATCATCTGAATCAACATCCTTCTGATTCTTTTTGTTATTACCTTTGGCTTCCTTCTTTTTATTTTTGTTCTTTTATGCTTTCTTGCTTTGCTCTTATTGCTTAGCTTCCTCTTTGGAAATCATAAATTAATTATTAATAAAATAAATCTGAAAAAAGTGATAAATTTAATAAATAATCATAATATTAAAATATATAAAATAGAAAACAACTCAAGTTATTCTTAAATTTTATTTTGAGTTTAGATGCTTTCTCAATCAATAATAAATTTTTATTGTAGATTGCTCTTATTATTTTGTGATAAAAATTCATTTGAAATCACAAAAATTTTAGAAAATCATTTTCTGAATCTCAACACTACCTTCAAATTGAACATAGTGTAATAAAAATTATAGAGCCTATCAAAAGATTATCTAAAATAATCAAATGACAAACCATAAAATTAATATATTGTTTTCATTGGGGTTTTCAAACTAGGTTTCTTATTGGTTTTAGAATTAATCAATATTTTTTGGACCTTTTATTATCTATAATATCAGTCACACCTATGTAATTATACAATATAGGTGTATTTATCAAACATATTATGAACAAGTATCATTAAATTACTCTAAAGCAATTATTGTGGTAAAACTTAGTCTAAAAGTCAAGCAATTATCTAAGACTCAGAAGATACTCTTACCTAATTACTATAAAATTGTTTTATCTTCTTTATAATAAATTTGTCATAGTTTTAGGATGTGAAAAAGAGCTATTGAATTATAACATGAAAGTTCCTAATTTTTGACAATTATTATAATTGATAAAATTCATCACCTATTTAGCAATAGAAAATCAGACAAAATTCTATTAAGTAATAATTTCAATCATAGTAAAGAAACTAAAGACTAAATGTAATAATTATAGAATTGTTTATAAATATATAAATGATAAAAAAATATCCATATTATCATAAGGTAATTGATATCTAAACCATAGTCATAAGAATTCAACCTTTATTTACATTTTCAGTAATTATCTAATAATTTTCTTAAATACAGGGTTTATTCACAATTGAAAGTATTGAAGTTCACAGATCTAATATTTTGATAATATAGTTTCATTTTATGATTAATCTAAATTATGCTTTTTTTAATAAGCAAGTAAGTATGTTCTGGTATGCAATATTCAATTACCATAAAATGCTATGAAATAGTAGCATATTTCACTTATATTGAAGGTTTCTCTTCAGGACTATTATGTCAACAAGAAAAATGAATGTGATTTAACAGTATTGAATAAAAAGTCAATAGAATAATATCAGGCCTATCATTGTAATATTTTTGCAATCATGGTTCATGCATGTAAAACATTCATCATTATTAAATAAATATATTGATTATTTTTAATATAATGTCATTAATCAATTTGATATTATATGGGACCTTTAATTTTTTTTTTGGTGTTCTGAGTAATCAATTTCGATTTCTATTATTAATTGTCACGCCCTAGGGTACGATAAGACCCTATTCCTCCTGTTATAATCAAAGTAGATCAGATGTCCTTAATATTACTTTTCTTAAAATTTCAATAATGGTGATTTCTTTTAAGGAAACTATAATTAGAATTTCTAACATTATTAGTATCCTTCTCTCACATAGAATAATATTCAATATAATCTTGAGTGATCTACTACATTGCTTAAATGAATTTAGTGAGTAAAATAAGTGTAACAAATTGCGATTTCAGGAGACAATACGATTTTATATGGATGTATTAATAAAATATAGTAATTTTAAATATTGGATAGAATAAAATAATAATAATTTTTTAAGAAATGTGTAAGCTATTTTAGAATTATTTAAATGTTCAAAGAAGAGTTACAAAAAAGGAGTTAATAGGAAGCCTTTAATTTAAAATTTACTCAATAAAATATTTTATGTTTCTTTTAATGCCAATGAACTAAAAACTATAAGTTAATACCGATATTTTTGAAATTGTTAATCATAAACGTCTATTGTTTTTTTTATTTTTGATATACATACAGATCTTTAGGTAAATAAGTATAAAAAAATGATTACAATATTTGGATTTAAACCTTCCAATTACATTAAGTTTATTTTTTCATTGTTTCATTTATTAAGTGTATATTTCTTTCAGTATTTCTTTGCATTTATTTCGCCCCTCAGTTATACCTTCTTTCTATTTAACAAATGTATGGAGCAATTTATATTTAATATCCTTATTCATTGTTTAGAAATCTTTAGACAATAAGAATCTAGAAAGTTTGAGCAGTTCTATCCTTAAGCAACCTTTATTTGAGTTTATCTTCAGGCTGTTTATCACTAGTTTCATTGAATTTAAAGTTTTCTGACATTTTTAAATGTAACAAGAGAGGTTAAATAAGTGATGCTATTTTTAATACTAATTTTCACCAAAAATTGTATATTTCAGCTTTATTATTTATATTAGATTCTCAACATTAGACTGTTTTCTTGCAATTAATTTGAGATCTTAGTAATGCTATCAATTATCCACCATTACTCAATTTGGTGATATAGATTTGAGGCTTATAATAGAAGACTAAAGTCTAAGAGTTTTAAAAAAAATAGATGTACTAAAATTAGAATTTAAATGAATTTATTGATTGATTAACTAATTTTTTAATCCTCAGTGATTTAGAAGTATCTATAGACCTATTGATTTAAGGATTCAATCATCATCGTGCCTTTGAGTTAAAAAATTATTAACCCAGTTCTCTGAAAAATAATGCCTTTTTCAAATTGCTTGATATAAATATTTTCTTTTCTTTCTTCAGTTTTGAATGCAAATTTGAGATAGGTTAGCTCGTTATTTTTAAAGTTTTCATAAAAAGTCATCCATCTAATGGTTTTTCGATATTTTATGGAATTAAGTAAGGCTATTCTGAGGAGAGGACTATCTTGTTTGATAATGTAGAAAATAATTTATATTTATTTAAGGACTCAGATGAGAGAGATAATAAATTTTTTGAAAAAATTAAAAAAAATCAAAATCTTTTTGCATGACTCAAGGAAAGAATAAGAAATTAGGAAAGAAGAAGGGATAAAAGAAGACAATCGACCCATTAGCTAGAAAGGAGTGGTTTGAATTAACAGCACCTGTGCCCTTCGCTGCTGGTGGATTTGGCTATACTTGCATTAATAAATCTGCAGGAACAGGTACCTGATTATAATTAAAGTTTTTAGTTGTGGCCACCGAAGCCATTAAGGGAAGAGTCGTCGAAGCATCTTTGGCTGACCTTCAAGGACAATCAGATTAGATGGCATGGAGAAAAGTGAAATTGATTATCGACGACGTCGAAGGTACAAGATGCAGAACATCCTTCTATGGTCTTGATTCAACAAAGGACAAGATCTTCGGTATGATTAAAAAGCGATAAACTTTGATTGAAGTAATTTAGTATCTCATTCTCTAGACTTAAGTTGAAGCCAGATCTCAAGATGGATACATCCTCAGAATCTTTGTCATTGCATTTACAAAGTCAATCAAAAACCAATAAAGAAAGACAACATATGCTCAAAGAAGTCAAATCAAAGACATCAGAAAGAAGATCGTCGAAATCGTCCTTAAGGAAGTCTCCAAAAAATCAATTACCTAATTGCTTGGTTTCTTCAATCAAGAGTCTCTTGCCAAAGAAATTGGAAAGGCCACCAGAACCATTTTCCCATTGTAAAACATTACATTGAGAAAAGTCAAGTTAGTCAAGAGACCCAAGGTCGATGGTATATATGTTTAATTAATTAAATCCAGCTTAAAAATTGAGAGAATTTTACGATGATTCCAACAGAGCAAAGACAGCCTAAGTCAGAAGAAAAGGTTAAGCTGAAGATTAAACTGCCGTTAATCTTATTAAATAAGGAGAAATCGATAAAGAATAAGCATAAGTCTAACAAGAATGATATATTACAGTATAAAGAATAGTACATATATAATATTAACAAATTATTTATTATATTTAATATCTTTGTTCTGATTATATTTCAAATATAAAGATTTTTTTTTATTTTAATTTGAGGAAATAAGATGTCTTAATAAGCTTAAAAGGGTGGAAAAGCAGCATAACCAAAAACAGATGCTAAATAATAGCCTGCAGCATAAGCAAAAGTTGCTAAACCATAAGAAACTAAAGAGAATGTGATGAGAAAAATTAGAATTGAAAAATTGATGGTTCATATTTGCGCTGGTGAATCAGGTGATAAATTGACTAAGGCTGCTAAAGTCTTGGAAGACCTTACAGGATAAAAGCCAGTTTTTGGCAAAGCAAGATATACAGTGAGATCATTTGGTATCAGAAGAAATGAGAAGATCTCCGTCTTTTGCACCATTAGAGGCGATTAAGCAAGAGATATCCTTGTAAGAGGTTTGAGAGTTAAGGAAATGGAATTGAAGAAGAGAAACTTCTCTGAATCAGGAAACTTCGGATTTGGTATTCAAGAACACATCGATTTGGGATTAAAATATGATCCATACACAGGTATTCTATTTAAATACAACCAATAGGTATCTTCGGTATGGATTTCTATGTAGTCTTGTCTAGACCAGGACTCAGAGTTGCTCAAAGAAAGTCAAGAAACTCAAGATTAGGCACATAATAAAGAGTAACTAAAAAAGAAGCAGTAGAATGGTTCAAATAAACCTTCGAAGGAAATGTCTATTGATACAATACAATATTACATTAAATACATATAAAAACATTTTATGTTTGTCTATTATATCATTATCTCCCTATGCATTTCACGATTTCATCTAGTCAACCCTATAAATCCATTTAAGTTTTAAACATCAAAATATTTCATCAAAGCATGTGTTCTTAAAATTATTATTATATAATGTCATTATTATCTAGATTTACATCCATTTTCAGTTCAAGCCAAACAACACAAGTTTCACGCACGCCTATTAACCAATAATTACAAGAGATATTGGCTTAAATAATTAATTCTAATGGCAAGTTAAATCTGAAGCAAAAGGGCGATGTCTTGGCATAATATTTATTAGATAGAGATGGTAAATGATAATTAATTTAGTTGGAGAACATATTGAGTTTCTCTTTTAATTCTTAGAAACTAGGTCTAAAGATCTTTCAGGCGTTCAAGTAGTAAACTTATTAGCAGCTATACATTAACAATTTTAATATAATGAATTAATTTAAGATGTGGCAATTAAGTTAAGAGAAACTAAAATGTCTTGGGTGTAATTAGAAAAACAGGAATGGTATTCTACATAAACAGAGCCTGACTAGTAGAAGAATTAGTAAACTTAAAAGATTTTGACTGAATTTGAGGATAAGGCTTAACCAGCTAAAATCTATGCTTAATTGTGTTATGTCTATTTATAAAAGTTGGCTGCAAATGTAGATCTTTATAGGGCAGTTCTCAAATTAAATTACCCTTATATAACAGAAAAAGATTATATTGAAGCAAAACTTATATTCTTATGGCATTATAAAATACAAAATCTGATCAACTCAGGATCAATATTGATATAATTCAATCCAAATTTAATAGATATATAAGTAGCATTGTATTATGATGTTTGCCGATTTCAAAAGTTTATTTGTACTGAAATTGAAAAAATCATTGATTAATATGCTACTCTTCCAAATAGCGATACTTTAAGTCTTTATGAGATTTATTGTGAAAGTTAAAGACATTATGAACATCTCAATCAATTTCATTAATTTACTTAATCTATAACTTAGCCTCCTCCTTAATGTTAAATCAATAACACACTTCTTCAAGAATTCTTTGCATTTGTAACCAAATTAAAAGTGTTAAATCAATTCAATTTCAAAAAGTCAATAAAAGTTCCTAACAAATAAGATCCCATTATGGGTATTCCAACTAAAAATCCAAATGTATTATTTCATCCTATATTTTTCTATTTTAGGTTCTCAACATTAGGAGATCAAGTTAACAATTAGATGATTAATAGAGCAATGGATCTGAGAAAGATGATGAGGATTTTGCAAATAATAAAAAAATAAGGTCTGATCATAATAGAGTGTAAAGCACATTTTAATATGCCTAAAAATGATTTATCTATTTTGTTATTGATGATTTTGATTTAATTAACTTATAAGAAATATAAATATATATTATAATTATATTTGGTAAAAGGCTTGCGAATAGAATAATTATCAATAGTTTGAGATCTTTGACGAGTATGACTTTGTTGCATCAATAAACCAAGGTAGAATAGATTCAAAACAGTTTGCTGTATTTGATTGGGCAAATTCTTCTAAATTTGAATTTAATAACCGGGAATATATTGGCGGCTGAAATATATATTAAATTTTATGGAAATCACTAATTGTTAACATCCAAATCAT